AGATTATTTCTTTGTTGATTTGTATGTCCCTCCCCCACAGTATAACCCCTGCTTTCACTGTATTTGATGTCGGTATAATTTGTGGAGGGGAAGGGGAAAACCAAATCGTTTAAATAGGAATACAAGTGGACCCATTGCAACAATGACATGTACAGGTTGTTATGTCGAAAACGAACTTTACAACTTTGGTGGGGGGGAGGAGGGTTGGATGGAGGGCCAGGGGGAGGATGGGAAGGGATGGGAAGGGGAAATGTATTCATTATCTTGCCCATGTAATTATAACCCCTCTGTATATTATTTTCACAATTTAAAAAATCAGGTCAATATTTATAGAAGCAAAAGCAAAAACAATGAGGTTTAATCTGAAAACAAAGCAAAAAATATACTGAATCAAAAATTAACCTTTTCTTTCTGAGAATGATGAAACATTTACTTCCAGGTTCTGTACTTTAGCTCATCTATTCCCAAAACAAAAGCCCATAGTCAGGTATAACAAGTGACCACTGATCCTCTGCAAAGGAGGAATTGAACACATTTTCAAAAACCTGTCTTTTTTTTTACGTTTATTAAAATAAAACTGTAATGTATCTTCTAATAAAAACATTATACACACACTCGTGTATATAATGTACTGATTTTCTTCACCCCTATTAAACTGATTTTCAAAAGAATGCATCACATCTTGATATTTCCACGTCTATTCAATTTTACTAAGTAATATATATACCAGCATGTTTTATATATGGGCAAGGACCTTCCTAAAATAATCATTATTACTGACATTATCATTTAATAATTGAACCTTGATCAAGAATAAGATACTAAAAATAATCATGTACTAATACTTCACAAGACTATTTGAATAAAATAAGAAGCAATTAAAATTATATCTCAAAGCAGTCAAAACATAAAAAAAAAAAATTGTTAGGCAGGTGTTGGTGGCTCATGCCTGTAATTCTAGCTACTCAGAAGGCTGGGACCTGTGGATCCCAGTTCCAAGCCAGCCTGGCAAGAAAAATCTGTGAAACTCTTCACCAATTAACCACCAAAATACCAGAAAAGCCATTGTGGCTCCATGTAGTAGAGCACTAGCCTTGAGCAAAAGAGCCCAGGGACAGAGCCCAGGCTTTGAGTTCAAGTCCTATGGCCAACCAAAAAAAAAAAAACTTCACTGCTTCCTAAGCACCAGCTGAAATCATTGAAGCAAAAGATTCTTCAAAATTTGGGCTGGGAAGGTGGCTCAGTGGTAGAGTGCTTGCCTTGCATGCATGAGGCCCTGGGTTCGATTCCTCAGCACTATGTAAGCAGACAAAACTGGAAGTGGCACTGTGATTCAAGTGGTAGAGTGCTAGCCTTGAGCTGAAGAGTTGAGGACAGCGCACAGACCCAGAGTTCAGGCCCCATGACCAACAAAAAATAAATTGCCATGACTCTTTTACAAATTATTAGCTAGCAAAGAATGTGACAACAGAAACTGGCTCCTGCTAGTTAAGAAGGATCCCAGTTTCTTCTTTTAAGAATAGTGAGGTAAGATAGCCACTTCTCAGCACAGTGAACAATTAAATTTAAGGGTGATCAAATAACTTGTCCTCCAAGTTAGATCACTTAGAGTGAGAAGAAACACTAAGCTGAGCAAGTAGGAAAAAACAAGACTGTAGTATGCAAACTCAAGATATATGGCCACCTGCCTAAGCAAGGTATCAGATTAAGTGTCATGTCTTTTTTGCTTTTTCCAAACAGTTAATACTGGTAGGACAAAAGAAAAGTCTAGAGTCAATTTTGGATCGGATATTCTAGATTAAATTGGATATTCTAGACAATACTTTTCTATAATAAGATTTGGTTGAAAATGATATTTATAAAGTATTTCAATCAAAGACATGACAAAACTGGGATATACATTATAGGGAGAAATAATAGGCTGGTAGCTAGGGATTAAGTTATTAAATTATTATTAAGCTAGGAGATTCAATTTAACTTACTGTAATAGAATTTCTATTTTAAATAAATTCATAAAATCCATCCTGAATTCACTAAATAGAAAAATACATTTTTGCCATAAAAGTTTATTGTACAGCCCAGTATTGGTGGCTCATTCCTGTAATCCCAGCTAGTTAGGAGGCTGTGATCTAAGGATCAAGGTTCCAGACAGGAAAGTCTGTGAGACCCTTATCTCCAAACTACCAAAAAAACTGGAAGAGAAGCTGTGATCAAGTGGTAGAGAGCTAACCTTGAGCAAAGGAAGCTTAGGGACAGCCAGAGCCCAGGCCCTGTGAGTTCAAGCCCCAGGACCTGCATCAAAAATAAAAAATAAAAAGTTTATTGTGAAACGACATAAAATGGATTCTTTGCCATGATTAGCTTAAATACAATTACATAATATTCTTTTACATTAACTTCCAAGTCCTAGTTCACATTTATTCAAAAAGGTTTAGACAGCCCAATATGTGTTTTGATTTTCAAGCTTTAAGTCAGAATGCAAAGGTGATTAGGCTTACCACAAGTTAACAAGAAATGAAATAAGCAGAGATTAGATAAGTCTGAAAAGGAATGCTAAATTTTGAAAGTAACATTTTGGTGCCTCTGCTTGCATGATGATACTTAAGGTTACTACTGAGCTATCCTAATTAAAGAGGTTTATATAACAGGTATACTTGAACCTCAGAGACTTACAAAGGAAAGTCAACAGAACTGTAAAGTTTTAGTGCTGGATCAAAAGTGGCACATTTATATTCAGACCAAGTATAAATGCTATAAAAACAAAAATGAAATATTAATAAACTGATGTTTGATAGGTGAGTTTTTCATCTTAGTTTAAATTACCATATATCAAGGCTTCATCTCATGTAAAAATAAATGAACAAAGTAGAAGTCTACAGAAAATGAACAAGAAACAGAAAAAGACCAGCAGTAGTTTGTATATGTTAGCAAGACATGAAATTCTTGCTATTATTGATTTCCAAATAGGCAGTTAAATTTAATATTTTGCTTTCTTTACCACATGCTTTACTTCAAATAATGTAAAAAAGATACTTCAATCAACAACAAAAATTCTAAGTAGGATAGCAAATTAAAAGCAAAATACAGAAGACTCCACTAGCTAACAAAACTGTTTTGTTCATCAAAGACACTGAAAATAGAAAATATAAAGAAATACAAAAGAGATAACAAAGCATAATATTTTATTTTTTTAATGAAAAAATGGCCCTGAATGTACCATTTAGTGGTAATCAGTGTCTAGTAAACAATTTTGTTTTACTGTATAGCTTATTAAATGAATAAGTTTAAACAGTAACATAATTTCTATTATTTTTAATGTTGACAATCAAAAGCAAAGACAATATTGAAGTCAAATGTATGAGATTTAAAATGATGTGCATGATGCAACAGCTTATGAATATAAGCAGAGTCCAGCTGGGATAGTTATGCATTCTCCGCACATGCACACACACACACACACACACACACACACACACGCGCGCGCGCGCGTGCGCGCACATGCGTGCTTATGCAGGCACACACAGCCACTGCCCCCAAATTCCACAGAGATGTTGCCATAATCTAAAAAGAGGTGTATCGCATCTCAAATTCAGGTTATGACTTTTACAAATTAATTCGACAATCATAAAGTAACAGAACAAGACTTTATTTGCTAAGCTTAACAAATTAAGTATCTAAAGAAAAAATTACAGTGGCATTGAAAGATATTTTTATTGGCTTTTTAAAAGACAAATGTAACTTAGAATATCTTATTTGGATAATTAATTTTTTAAACTGTCTTAAATGAAATAAATATCAAATTCAATACCTTCCTGAATCTTTAAAATGAGTAATACTAACAACCAAGCTTCCCTAAAACTAATATGCCCCTAAATCTTTTTATATTTAATAAAGGACATTTGTTATATCCACATCTTAAAATTTTCCCACTTAAAATTTGAATAACACTTAAAGTTTCTGTACATATTAGTTCACTTAATTTAAAATTAATGAACAGATATCTAGACACAATTTCTAAGAAAACGATGTAAAAAGGAATTTATGCATGGTTATTTACAGAAAGAACCTGTCTAAATAACATCATGTTCAAAAATATGACAAATCCATTCTAATAATCAGCACTGCAGGTATTAATAAACTTTATATATATCAAAGGATAATTCATATATAGAATTATTAGATGAATCTAAGAGCTGGAAACTAAAGCATATGACAAGATTAATAATGTTGCTTTTATTATACTAACCATCAAGTCAGAAGCCATTGGCATTTACATGCTGGAAGACTGTTTATCACTCAGCTCTTTTAATTATCGCAAACACTGATTAACCAAATGTGACTGGACTTTACTGCTACAACTTTACGATTTCTTTCAAGTATATGCAAATATTTTAAATAGGCACATATGCAAATGTGCAAAACAAATGAAATACAAAGGAATGAACAGAAATGGCTTGTAAACAAAAAACCACCCTGCCATTCAATTTTGAAGCTCCATCTTTTCTTCACTAATTTTTCTTTTATTAGTAGTAGTCTTCTATCCTATTAAAGTTGTAGGTTTACAGATGATATGGAAATTTCACATTGGCATAAGAAAGGAATGTTGGGTTGATGTAGTCTAGAGACAAAGGAAGAATTAGTCTTAAAATGTATTTAGTTGCATTTATAAATCATAGTAAAAGCATTTTATTACAGCATTATGCTAGATATGTAATGTTTTCATATAATGAATAGCATATATCAGAATATATTCTAAAACATAAAGCTTCTATAGAAGTCATCTAGAAAATATTTACATTGTATTTTAGATGGAGTCTTTAAAATGCATATAAAGTAATCAATCACAATACTCACAGAATACTATTCAAATTATTAATATTCTTTTGCATTTTATCACTAACACAAACTTTTAAGGCCACTGCTTGAAAGGACATTTTATTGATTAAAAAAAGTAACATCTTCTGGGAGTAGGATGATTTTATGGAATATTTAAACATTTTTTCCTCCTCAGACTCTGCTTTAATACAATCTGGAAATGCAATTGTACTCATTGTGCTAGTCAACAAAAACAAGTAAACTATATATGCTTATCAATAAGATGTAAGTTATAAAGTTTAAATACTCAAATCACAAGCTACATAATTTGTTTATAGAAAACAAGTATCTCTGTCAGTACTCATAAGGGATTGTTCCTGGACTTTCCTCAGAGGCCAAATGCCATGACTGATAAGAGTCTAATATAAAAAAGTATTGAATCTGCATATAACCAACTCATCCTACTGTACATACTGTACACTTTAAATTATCTCTATTAAATAATATAATTTAAATGCTATGTAAAGGGTTATAATAATGTATTGTTTAGGAAATAATGGCAGTATGTCTGTAATTTGCTTTCTCAAATATTCTTCAACACATGGTTGGTTAACATGGACACAGAACTCACAAAAACAAGAGTGCTGATTATACTTAGCCCTGATATCTCATAACACCTTGTCTTTTCAGTTCTACACTCAAAAATTAAATGTAGACATTTTCCATATGAGTTAATACTCATTTCTAGATATGAAGTATCTTGCTTTTAATTCAGAATAGAGTACAGATATGTGGTCTCTGTGAGGTACTCCTGAGTGCTATAATGACTATACACAGCAACTACAGTTTCTATTTATTTCTTTAGCGGTTTCAGTAGTTTATTAACATACATTAATAGTACAAGGAGGTGATCATTATAATTCTTTTTTTTTTTTTTTTTTTTGTCGGTCGTTGGGCCTGAAATTTGGGCTGAGGGACAGCTCTTCAGCTCAAGGCTTGAGCTCTACCACCTGAGCCATAGTACCACTTTCGGCTTTTTCTGCTTATCTGGTGCTGAGGAATAGAACCCAGGGCCTCATGTATACAAGGCAAGCACTCTACCACTAAGCCACCTTCCCAGTCCCTGCTTATTTCTTTATGACAAACATTAAGGAAAAAAAAATGTGACAATATGACACAAATTAGAAAAACAATATGGAACTATTTTCTTCCTACAAATGTTACTCCTTGAACTAGATTGTTAAAATGATTGCAAATTGCTTTCCAATCACATACTTTATGGGGTTTTGTTTTGTCTGTTGTGCATTTGTTATATTTAAGTACAGTACTAGAGCTAAAGTCAGGGCCTTGTGCTTTCTATTAGGTAAGTGGTACTACTTTAGTTACCCCACCCACTCAAACTTTTGTCTTGTCTTTTCTCAGTTTTTCTTTTCTTTCCTTTTTAAAGCATTTTTTCAGATAGGGTCTTACTTTTACCTAGGCCTGTCTTGGACCATAATGTTCTTTACTTCCAAGTCTCTGGGATCACAGATATGTGTCACCATGTCTAGCACTGTGGGTTTATTCACCAGATATCTAGAATTGGATGTCAAACAGATTTTTGGAAAAAAAAAAAGGAAATAATAACTTATCCCAACCTGGGTACTGGTGGCTCACACTTGTAATCCTAGCTACTCAAGATGCTGCAATCTAAGGATCATGGTTCAAAGACAGGCCTGGGAGGAAATTCATGAGACTCTTATCTCCAATGAACCAGCAAAATGCTCAAAGTGGAGCTGTGGCTCAAGTGGCAGAGTGCTACTCTTGAGCAAAAATGCTCAAGGACAGTGCCTGGGCCCTGAGTTCAAGCCCCAGAACTAGCACCAAAGCACAAAAACAAAAAATAAAAAACCCTCATCCCTTCTCTGTAAGTAGGATACTTTGTTAGTTCTTCAGTGTCTTCAAATTTTGTGCTAGTGATTACATCAAATATATCCTGTGACCAAGCTTTCTAAAGAAACTTGATGATTTAAAGTCATAGCAGGGTATGGTAGTACACATGTGTAATCCAGCACTATAGAGGAAGAGACAGAAGGATACTGAGTTCAAAAGAAGCCAGAGTTATCAGCTCTATAAACTAGACCCTTATCTCACAAAATCAAGAACTAAGGATACAGCTCAGGGTAGAGTGTCTGCCTAACACATGCAAGGCTCTGGGTTCAATCTTAAATATTTTGAAAATAAAAACAAAAAATAATAGTTCATTACGCATTATAAAAATGAAACTCTGCTTTTAAAGATCTAAAAAGTATCTAAAAAGCTTGAGAATTATTAAATTTCAATAAGCTATTACTAATACAAAATAAATATACTGAGTAAAATGTATATTTTAAACATTTAACATAAATATAGTAAATGGGAATACATAAAGGAATAAACAGACAATAAGTGAATATTTTCTTACCTCTATAATAAGAAGAAGTATCTTGTTCTATGAGCAGCTGCCATACTTTCAGACATGTTTCTAACTTTTAAATAATTAACAAATCCTCTGAAGAAAAGAAGTAGTCCTGAGAAAATTCAAATAATACAGATATATTATGTCTTACACAAAGAGATCATGAGTACATTAAAGTAGAAATTTATAGGTAAGGCACTTTTGATCCTTTCTCATTATAGTTAATCTATCATAAGGAAATATAATAATGTAATATATAAAATAAATAAAATATAAGGTATAATAAAATTAAATGTTACTGGTCACATCCATTTAATTTCTTAATGTTAAATACCAAAATTAAATTCAGCTTTGAAAATCAAAAATCATATCAAAATACAATTTGTTATATCACTTTAAGTAGCAAAGTTATCAATGCTTGTAAACTGATCCACTCATAGAAATCATTTTAATCAAAAAAAATTAAAAAGGAAAAAAGAAAAAGAAGAAATAACCAATCCTTTGGGGTTGGAGGCATTGTTCAGTTGGTAAAGCACTAGCCAATGAGCAAAAGTATCTGAGTTTGAATCCAAAAAAATTACTTTATTTTTATCAAACTTTTTAATATAACTACTAAGCAAATAAAGGCATATTATTTATAAAAAAAAATTCTAGTGAAGGGCTGGGAAGGTGGCTCAGTGGTAGAGTGCTTGCCTTGCATGCATGAGGCCCTGGGTTCGATTCCTCAGCACCACATAAGTAAAAAGAAAAAAAAGCCAGAAGTGGCACTGTGGCTCAAGTGGTAGAGCGCTAGCCTTGAGCTGAAGAGCTGAGGGACAGAGCCCAGGCCCAGGCCCAGAGTTCAGGCCCCACAACTGGACCCAAAAAAAAAAAAAAATTCTAGTGAATGTATGTATATAGTTGTTAAGATGAAGGAAAATATCAACAAATCTGACTAGCACTATTAAGTATGTTTCATCTGTATTTGAAGATATGTGTATTTACAGATTTTTACTATGAATTATTTTAAGTAATAATGAAAGAATAATATATGATAAAAATGGAGACAAACTCAGGAAGGAAAACTTAGAAGACTGTGATTTCTTATACAATAATACAATTTAAAACTTTGTTTTAAAGAATATCCATTTTTGTTGGTGGTGGCGGTTATAGGGCTTGAACTCTGGGCCTAGGCACTGTCCTTCAGCTCTTCAGCTCAAGGCTAGTGTCCTACCACTTGAGCCACAGTGCCAAGTGATCCTCAGCTCTCAGCCTCCTGAGTAGCTAGGATTACAAGTGTGAGTCACCAGCACCCAGCTTATATAACAGGCATTTTTAATAATCACAAAAGCAATGCCTGTGAAATGCTTCAAAGCTGTAGATTTTTAAAAAACTAGGTAATTAAAAAATCATTAACATTTGAAATACTCAAGAAACATTAACTCCAGTAAATTTATAACTAGAAAATGAGGGGATAGGGACAGAAGATAAGTGAGTATACTTTCTTTCACTAAAAATGAAAGTATTAATGAATTTAAAATACAATATCCAATACCAAATTTGCCCCCCCCCACTACAAGAAATACCAAGACTTAAAGAAAGCATGTGTGTAATATACTAGAGAGGTAAGACAGAGAAATATGCAAATAATTGAACCAAGGGCCTAAAATGAAGCTAAATCCCATCCCGTGTATTTTCCATATCCCAACTCCTTTTATTTATTGCTATCTTTGACTTCTACCCTTCTTTCCTGCCAGATGCTGTTCAGAGATAACAGTGTTTTCTAAATGCAGAAATATTGTTGAAAAATGTAAGCCAAAAGTATTTGTGAGATTCTTCTTTTGTCTGTGAGGCTGCTGTTTCTAAGACATTTTGTTCTGCTCAGGAATTTTCTAAAAGAAGCCAATTTCATATCTAAACCTAATTACTCAGGGTCCATTGCTTCTCAACAATTTACAATGTGCTCAGCCTTCTTCTAAGCATTTGAAACATTCTTATAACTGATTAAATTTTCAAACTTTCCTACATAAATGCTAACAAGATTGTGACTCTGGGAATTGGGACTTGTCCCCTGCATTCTACTCTGCCCATAGTTACCTTCCTTAAGATTTCTCCAGTCTATAAACAATGTACACATAAGCAAATATACTCACTACACTTAAACATGTACTACATCATATTTTTTCACTTCAAGTAAGAAACTCAAAGACAATACACTATTTAGGCAGCCAGAACACAACAATATAAAATTGGCTTAAATTAATCTTTATTTAAGACTGCTTCCTCAAATATTTCACAATATTAAAATAAGTTCACTGTATTAAAGAATTTAGTCACTTAACTGACTTCTAATAATTTACTTCCCCAAAGTCCTAAAGATCCAATAGTATGAGTAAATAAAAACTCAGAGAACAGTGCCACCTACTGAAATGTTATGATTTTTAGTGGAATCATGAATACATGAACCAGATTTTAACTATGGAGTCAAAGTATGTGATTTTAAAATTAGTTATTATATGTACTTACTAAAAATCCATCAAGTTCATCCATGTTAATGAAAAGACAACTAAATAGAACTACAATGACCATTAGGTATGAAGCCTCCCCTATGTTGACTGATTAATGACTAACATCAGGCACATTTCCAAAATATAAAGCATGCTTCCAAGATTCAAAAATAAAAGAGAACAGATAAAACACCCAAACTACCCTATTCTCCCATTTTCTAGGATCATTGTAAAAATGAAACATGAACCACAGATTCTTTATATTTACCATCTCTGGATTTTGAATCAAAGAAATCTGGGGGGCTACCCAGAATTAATTGAAAAACCAAGACAGATATTTGAGTATAGGAATATCATAGCAGAAAGGTTATCTCCACCCAAGTTCTAACAACCTATTTATATTTTATAATTTTAGGAAATACCAAAGTTAAATTAAACTGAAATGCACATACAATAAACTTACCAAGTATCAGAAATATCCACCAAAGCCAGTATTGTCCATTGAAATATCCAGTAAAATAATCAGAAAACTATGAAGTAAACATAAATATGTTATTCAAATGTGTATGCCTAATTGAGAATTATAATCTACCTCAAATAATTTCTATTACTTAAAAACAGCACAAAGGAAAAATAAGAAATAATAATGTGTATGTGTAACTGAGAAAAATCTGTATGCAATGGCAAACATGTAAAATGGTTTATAAACAAAAAGTTTTTAACTGCTTACAAGAAAGCAAAGTAAATGCTATGTATCAGTAACAAGCATTTTCTCAAAGAGTTCACATCAGTCTTTTTTTTAATCTCTCAAAGCCACAACTATTATCCCAAATACGCTAAAGCAACCTGCTGCTTTGGATATTAACACCAAAAGCCACATTAGTTTAATCTTACCAGATGGGGATGTTGTGGTGACCTATGAAAAGAAGAGCTTTTGACCTTCTGTACACCCCCTACTGTTAACCATTGCCAAAAATATTAGAAACATAAAGACCCCCAACTCATTAGAGTCTTTTTATTTTCAAACTAGATGCCTTAGCATTCAGTTCCCAACAAGTGAGCTGACAACAGCTAAATGAACCTTGAAGTGGGATTTCAACACTTCCTATTATATAGGAAATGAACAGGCCCATGGAAGACAGAGTCTGATGGCATAGGACACAGTATCTTTTCCTTGGTTAGACTCCAGATATTGCACTTTTATTCATTTGAAAAGGTTTTTGAAAAAATTAGTCTCGTTTTCTTCAAAGTTATTTCTGGTATTTTTTTCCCTATTTCTTCCGTACTTACTCAGCACCTAAAAAATGTCCCAAATAATTACTTTTTAAGTGTTTCATATAACCTACTCTACAACTACTAAAAGCTTATAGAACTGTTTCTACTGATGTTCGTATTGAATCATTTAGCTAAAAATGATTTTAAGTGTAGGTTTGCACTTGAATCTGAAATTATTTTAAAATTCTTAAGAATTTCCATAAAAGATGAAAAATTTATCATTTTAATAATAATAGAAATGCTTACTATTTAAAGCATTTACATAATGCTAATATTTGTGATTTTTTTCTTTAGCAGATTTACTCTTATGAAAATTCATTATACATCTAATTTTTAAATAAAATTCAAATGAGAGGCTACTCTGAGGGCATTTCTTATAATTACTCAGATTAAAAAAATCTATGTACAAATATCAACCAAGAATCAATTAATTGATAACCAAAACCTGTAACACGGTCTGAACTAGTAAAAGGTTTTGATAAAACTACTGAAACCCTGGGAAGTTCTAATTTTTTTTTTTGGTCAGGCATAGGGCTTGAACTCTGAGCCTGGGTACTGTCTCTCAGCTTTTCAGCTCAAGGCTAGCGCTCTACCACTTGAACAACAGTGCCACAACTTTTTCTGTTTATGTGGTGCTGAGGAATTGAACCCAGGGCTTCATGCATGCGAGGCAAGCACTCTACCATTAAGCCACCTTCCCAGCCTGGAAGTTCTAAATTTTAAGAGAGTAAATAAATGTATCATTCCCAATTAATATTTATTAATATATGAATCATTTTAGTGAATTTATAATACAAATGAATTACCAAAGCATTTGAAGCATTTTTGAGAAGTTGGCACATTATTAGACTTACCATTCTCGGAAAAAGTTTGCAAGGAATTAGCTGATTTCAATAAAAATCAATGTTTAGATGTAATTTGTAGATTCTATGCACTGTAACTTGTTAATTATATAAATAGCATTTATAAAATATATATATAACTTTTCAGAAGACCTATTAAAACAATAAACTCAATCATTCTCCTAGGTCTTATAACAAAACAAGCAAACAAACAAAAGGTGAACAAACAAACAAAAACAAGGAAGAAAAGTTTGTAAAAAGAAGCCCAAGGCAGAAGGATCAAGAGTTCAAGGACAGCCTGGGTTACATAGAAAGACCCTGATTTTTAAAAAGGAAAGGAGGGAGGAAAAGGGAAAGGAATGGAAGGAGGAACTAAAAAAAAAGCAACAGCCTAAAAGAGACCTTCAAGAGGTAGGGGATGACTATATTAAGGGTAGTCATTCCTTACCATTGTTCCAGAAAACAATTTCAGAGCTAGAAAAGTTGCTCAGACAAGGAAAAATAAAGGACACTTCATTGTCTCCCTGCACATTATCTTGTAATTAGTAAGAAGTGGGCACAGGTAATTTCTAACAGAAGCAGGAAAGGCAGAAGGAACGTAGAAGAACAGGGATAAGTTTAGCTACTTTACAGGCCTTTCCTTTTGAGACCTGAATGTTACTTAAGTTCATAATAATTTACTAAATACAAGAGGTTTTTTTTTCATTTGATTTTCATTCAGGAATCCCTGAATTATATCACAGTAGTAGAGTCCATGATTTACTGGGTACATTGCTGTAACAGGGCAATATGCTTTACTTCCCATATGTCATAAAACCCGTGAGACAGTTATTGGAAAACCCAAAACTTGGAACAATGAAGTAACTTAAGGTGAAAACACAGAAGGAAAAAAGGTGAGACAAACTCAAACTTCTTGATTATGAAGGGTTTTTTTTTTCCTGCTATACTAATACTAATACTTTCCTAAACGTAAGTTATAAAATGCTCATACCACAAGGACTACTTTAAATGTAGAAGTGGGAGTCTGTAATTGGTTGAATACATGTGCATAAAGTGAACAGTTACAACCCATACAGAAAATTTCCCTTTTTCATCTCTGCTAAGGGAGGTGAACACTTTCAAGACACTTACCCGGACAATAAGGATCCATTTAATCAATGAAAGACCAAATCCACAGATAGCACCATACCTTCCAGCTATGGTATTGGTGATACAGAAGGATAAACAAAATCCAAGCCAGTTGAAAATAAATGCCACTAAAAGCAACAGAAACAGTTCTTTTAAATGTCAAGTTGGAAACAAAGTAACAAAGACATAACACTTCATTGTTCAAGTGACAAAACAATTCCTTTTGTTTTAACTCTACCAAGTGTACTGCTTTTTAGACTCCTACAACTTACCTTCTCCAAGTTATTTGCTATATGTCAATAAGTGGAGAAGCTTAGTTTCCTGTCAGTTTGGCCAGGAGGAATCAAGTCTCTGAAGCTTATTGCTGGTGGGTGACACTACTTTTCTTCTTTTTTTAATACTAAGGTTTGAATTTGGAGCTCTGCCTTTCTAGGCAAGAGATCTACAACTTCAGCCACACCTGAAGCCCCTTTGCTCTAGTTTAGGGTCTCCCTATGTACCTGGACTCAACAGGACCACAATCTTCCTACTTACACTTCCTAAAACAGTGGGGGTGACAGGTGCATAATAGTACCCAGTCCCATTTAGTTGAGAAGGGGTCTTGTAAACCTTTTGCACAGAACCACAATCTGTCCATTCTGTCTCCTGAATAAGCAGGATCACAGACATGAGCCATCAGTGCCAGTAATAATTTAAACCAGCTACAAACTAGACCATAATGTAGTTTCCAATCCTAAATGATCAGCCTACAGTGGCTTTTTTGGACTTTTTTTTAAAAAAAAGATAAAACAATGAAATGCAATTTTTTTCGCAAATAGCTTAAGGTATAGTTATACTGTACTTTCCTGGATTCATTACTTTTCTAGTTTCACTAACAAATTGCACCCCTATCTAAAAGCTATACTAAAGAGTTTTACATTAGAATAATTGTTTACTTTTCACATATATGGAAGGTTCTTGAATTCCTGGACTAAAGATGCTCAAAATGCAAATTAGAATTAGATCCACCATACACAAAACTATAATATCTAAAATAATCAAGTATGTCCAAGCCAGGCATGGGTGGTTCATATCTGTAATCCTAGCTACTCAGAAGGCTGAGATCTGAGGATCCTGGTTCAAAGCCAGTCCAAGCAGGAAAGTCCATGAGACTCTTATCTTCAATAAACCATTCGAAAAAGCCAGAAGTGGCACTATGGCTCAAGTGGTAGAGTGCTAGTCTTGAGTACAAAGAGGCTCAGGGATGGTGCCCAGATCCTGAGTTCAAGCCTCAGGACTGACAAAAAAAGTCCATACTAATTGCTGGTAAGGAAACACAGAGACAAGAACTCTCATTTACTGTTGGTGCTAATGAAGACTGGTAGTTGCTTTGGAAGAACAGTTTTACAATTTCTTACAATTCAGAATTTATTTTTCAAAATACTTTCCTAATTTTTAAGTTAGGGATAACTTAATTTCTCTTTAATAATTCTTTTCTCATGTCTAAAGCAGGAATAATACACGCTGAGATAGGACTGTCACACATTGTAAATAGAAAAGGCTGAGTGTTAGGAGAAACATTTTCTTTTTTTTTTTTTTTGGGTCCGGTCGTGGGGCCTGAACTCTGGGCCTGGGCACTGTCCCTCAACTCTTCAGCTCAAGGCTAGCGCTCTACCATTTGAGCCATAGCAACACTTCCGGCTTTTTTCTTTTGCTTATGTGGTGCTGAGGAATCAAACCCAGGGCCTTGAGCATGCAAGGCAAGTGCTCTACCACTGAGCCACCTTCCCAGCCCAGGAGAAACATTTTCTAAATAGAGCCAAATAGTCCATTACATTTTAAAGCACTAGAGTTCAAGCTCATTTCCACAGGCTGTCAATTATCTATTGAACCAAATTATAATTACTAGAGTTTAATTAACTCTAGTTTGATGAACTAGAGTCTATCCCATTTTCTAAAAATTTCATAAAAAGCAGTATGAGAGATACTCAGAATAAGCACGTATGTGAGACATTTTGTGGTAGCACTTTAAAGGATCATGAAAAATATATAAATACATTTCTTCCTGTAATCCAGTAATATTACCAAATTTAAATGTAAACTTTTTAGAGTTACATGAGGTAAGAGACATGCACAAAACACAAAATTAAACAAGAACTAAATGTATGAAAGGTTTTAATCGGAATACAATTAATTATTGCTATTTTGTTTGCATGAGTATAACCTAAAACGCTTATCTTATAAACTATATTGAGGAACATATATTTCCAGACCTTTTTGTAACTAAAAATAGCTATTGTTTGATAGCATGTTAATAGCACAAAAAAATAAAAACAAGTTGCAATTTGAAAAATAGCCACTAGAGGGTAGTAATTACAAACCTATACTTATCAAAATAAGTTCTAAGCCTGCAACCTACAGGGCCAGGGAACTATAACAGGAAATGAAAGTACTTTTACTTTACACAATTTCATTGATATAATATTGGTAAATATTTGTAAAATAGGAAGAGATATGTGTTTGTCTGTGTATTCCTACGGCTTGAATCTACATTGCAGCATTTTTCTTAATCTTATTTAACTTATTTAGCTTAAATATACTTACATAGCTTTACATGATCAGCATATACATAATGGCTCTGATTTTGCAGTTAAGTGCTTTAAGATTCTAACATCTGACTTCATTATTAGTTCACTATCAGGAAAAATCTTCATTTTAAATGAGGTAAATACATTCTAGCAATGTTTTCTTTTCTTTATCAATATTGCTATAAAAACACAGGCAACATTTTTTTTTTAAAAAGCAGCTTGGAAAGATTACTTACTGAAAAACGCCAGCATGAAAATGCCATCATTACCCACTCTAAGCTGGTCTGCATCGCTGAAGTCATCTCTTTGTGGACACTCTTCCTCCGGATTCTATAAATCATATAAATCAAGACACCTCGCTAAAGTAATTATAATCTTGTCATCTTAAACTTAAGAGTAGGAACACTTTAGTAAAATGGTGCACACATAGAAATCCTTGTATTTGGGAGGCTGAGGCACCAAGTTGTAGGCCAGTCTGGGCTACACAGTGAGACCTTGTATCAAATAATAGTTTTAAAAAAAATAAAAGCTAAAAAAAAGCTAATGCTCTCAATTTGTTGTACAGATGAATGAAATATCTGCAGCAAATATGACTTTTCATGGGCACCTCTGAAAAGGTTAAAAGTAAACATACAAAAGCTAAATGAAAAATGATACTAGACAGCAGTTTCACACTGCTGCCTTAATGTCAAATGGAAAAAAACAGGACATTTCATAATCAGTGGTGGAACACAAATTGGCACAATCTCTTGTTTATAATTTGGCAATATTTATCAAAAATAAAAAATACTTTTTCTTCCCATCCCCCTAATGTAAATTCCTCTTCCTCCTCTTCAATCTGTTTCCTCATCACCAGGAGGTAAACAAGAATCTGTTAGGAAAGTATGCTGGGAAAACTAGTGTACTTTAAGCAGAACTTAAATAGGCAATTCTGGTAGAAGCTCAGAAGACCAAATGTAGAGAAAAATACAGACAGTAAAGTTGTATTAGTAAGGTTCAGGGAGAAATGAGGAATTAGAAGTCCATTAGGAATTGGACTAGAAGCCATTCATGTTATATTCTGGGGAAAAAAATCTGTGTATATTTTGTCTGTGTCCTCGGACATCACATGAGGTTGTATTTAAAATAATGGGCTACTTGGTAGAGGAAATTCAAGACAGCATAGCATCTAAGCAGCTGCATAGTTATTACTGGCAGCTTTCAGCCATGTTTATAGTACAATTTGGAGCAAAAAGAAGAGCAGAAACACTTGAAAAACTTGCAGATGTATCATGAAAGTGTTACATTGGAGCCAAGGAAAGCATAGTTTCTGAAGAGATTGACATCAACTAAAAAAACACATTGCATCTGGAAAATAGGAAAGATGCTTTCACAGCATCTCAGGAATTGGCCAGATGGAAACTAGCCATGCATCCACCTACCTGCTAGCTCAACAGTATGGAAGAGTAAAGTGATTAGAAAGACTTTCTCTTGAGGACAAAGTATCTGCAGGTCTCCCTGTTCTTACAGAGTAGACAAGGAAGTTTTCTCCTCAGGATTCATTTCACAGTGATCAACTGAGTGGAGGCTACTGCATCCATACCTACTGCATGAGTTGTTAGTGGTTTTTGATGTCATCTATGTGACGCTGTTTTTTCAGGAGTATAGAAAGCAAGGGACTTGAGTCATGAAAGACCACTCAACTTTTTTGTTGTTGTTGGTTGTGGGGCTTGAATGCTGTCCCTGCACTCTTCAGCTCAAGGCTTGAGCCACAGCACCACTTCCAGTTTTGTGGTGGCTTATTGGAGATAAGAGTTTCACAGAAAAAGTGGTGCTGTGGCTCAGGTGGTAGAATGCTTGCCTTGAGCTGAAGAGTGCAAGGGTAGCGTTCAGGCCCAGAGTTCAAGCCCCATGACTGACAAAAAAAAACCTACTTGGGGAAAAAAAAAAGTTTCACAGACTTTCCTGCCCAGGCTGGCTTTGAACTGTGATCCTCAGATCTCAGCCTCCTGAGTAGCTAGGATTACAGGCGTGAGCCACCAGCACCCGGCACCACTCAACTTTTAAAGGAAAGTCCAGAGGCCAGGCAATTTATAACAAGGTCATATTCCCTGAAAGTAGCCCATGAAAGGGTGATGTATAGAGATGTGAGGGTGAAGAATAAGCTGCAATGGAGACCCCAGGATGTTGGAGATGCCAGGAATATGGAACATCTTCTGGAAAGCTGCAGGCACAGTAAAGTTGGCTCAACAGAGTTAGCAAATGGCAAGGCCACAGCATTGGGTTGCTAAAGCCCACTGGAGCTCACATCATGACACCACATGCCCTAAGTGCTGAACATGAAGCAACAATCAGTATTTAATGTTTGCCTTATAGAGTTTGCTCTTGCTTTCATTCCATTCCTCTTTCTATACCTCTATTCTTCCCTTGCTTTATTCTGCAATTGTGTGTTAGAGGTGATTGTTTTTGTTGTTATTTTTGTTTTAATAGAGGTTTATAACTAAGAAATTGTTTTCAATCTCAGTAGAAACATTTAGCTTATAGTTTTGAACAAGATAGAACTGTTAATACCGCAAGGAGTCTAGGCCAAGGCCTAGTTTTGTACTGAAATGGGTATGAACTTACTAGGCATTGAGATGGAATACTGTGATTTGGATATAAGGTATGCATACCCAAAGCTCCTTTGCTGGGGCTATGTCCCCAGCTGGTGGGGTTATAGAATGTGTTGTTGAGGGCATATCTTTATTTTTTAAGTGTAATTATATTTAAGTAGTTGTATAAAGGAATTAGAGGACATACCTTGCTATGGCCTCTAGCCACCACCACCACCACCACTCCCCATGCTGTCTGCCATACAGTGAACTACTTCAGCCAGCTTTTGGCTGAATGTGCTCATACCACAATGATATACAGTATCACAGAGGAAAGAGGTCGGGTCAGAACCCTGAAAAACCAGGAAGTAAAACAAATACTTCTCCTCTTTTAAAAATCATCCTCTGGTCCGGAAATTTCAGTTTTTACAATGTATTGTACAAATTCCTATATGCAAATCCTACTTATAAAAGAAATAAAGTACTGGCAAGGCCTAGTAGCTCAGACTTGTAAGTCCAGTTGCTCAGAAAGTAGACACAGAGGGATCAGGGTCCAAAGATAAGTCCAGGAAAAAATTTAGCAAAACTCCATCTCAACATACCAATCAACTATGGTGCCAATTGTCACTACATGAGAGGTATAGATAGGAGAACCAACTAGGGCAAAAAGCAGAAGACTATCTGAAAATAAAAGCACAAATGACTTAGAGCAATGATTCAAGTCACAGACCACTTGAATAGTAAGCACAAGATCTCAGTACCACAACACATACACATACACACACACACACCCAAGAAGTGAACTATTAAAGATAATTTATTACAGCAATGTTAATAAGCACAAAAGATTAGATACAATCTAAATGTCCATCAGTAGAGGACTGTGTTAAAAAGTCAGTCTCTATAGACCTCTCTTGTGCTTCTACATGGCTTCCAGAAAAAGGAATTGGCCACCTTTTCCTAAATACTTATCTGGTGAGAGCCCCAAAAATAAAGTGCATTTCTCTTCAGAGCAAAGGTGTTGGCATTCTTACCTACTGTCAAGATCCCTAGGCTGAGGGTTCTTCTATCAATATACCAATGCATGTGGAGAGAATCACTTAGCCCTCTTTGTGTTGCTTGTGGAACTCGGGCTCAAAAAACTGGTACAATAAAATGCTAATAATCTACAACTGCTGTGAATAAAGAAGTCTTTGTTTCTTATTCAAGCGGTATGCCTTTTACCAGCATCTAAGAAACTATTAATCAGTTAGTTTGTAAGCTCAGTAAAAACTCGGACTGCTGACAGACTGTTATAGGCTAGTGAGGTAAATTATTGCATATATCTAGCCAGTGAACTTTAAAAAGTATAAACTTGGCACCAATGGCTCACATCTGTAACCCTAGCTATTCAGGATGCTGAGATCTAAGGATCACAGTTTGAAGCCATCCTGGGCAGTGAAGACCATGAGATTCTTAACTATAATAAACTACAAAAAAAAGCCAGAAATGGAGCTGTGGCTCAAGTGATAAGGCACTAGCCATGATATTAAAAGAAGCTCTGGGATAGCATTCAATCCTTGAGTTCAAGCCCCAGGAACTCTGTGTGTGTGTGTGTGTGTGTGTGTGTGTGTGTGTGTGTGTGTGTGTGTGTGTGTGTGTGTGTGTGTGTGTGTGTGTGTGTGTGTGTGTGTAGAAAAAAGCATTTACATCCTTAATATTCTACTATATTCTATTAATATTCTAGTAGTAATCACCAAAAATATTAAATATAAATCATTTGTGCTGTTAGTAATAGCTACTCTACAGGTAGAAATTAGGAGGATCATATTTTGGGAACCAGCCAAGGTAAAAATTTGGGAAGACTCCCTCTCAAAACACAAGATGGTGTGTGGTGCATGTCTATGGGTGCATGTCTATAATCCCAGGTATGTAGCATAGCTATTTCAATCTAATGCCAACCCCACGTAAAAGCATTAAGACCCTAAAAATAAACCTAAAGGGGCTAGGGCATGGCTCAAGTGGCAGAACACCTACCTAGTAAGTGTAAGGTCTAATTTCAAATCCCAGTACAGTAAAAATAACTTATTAATGTATTTGCTTATAGGTATAAAGAACTTCTCTGAAAGTATATATAAACCTGATTTCATTGATTGCTTCCAATTTTTAATAAATATTACTGAAACAGTCATTCTGTTTCTGAAGACCAGGATTGCCTCCTGGTCCGCAGGATAGGTCAATGTCCATAAAACAAGTATGCATGCCCTTCTGGAGCCTATCTTATAGTCAGAGGAGTTGGTCAATAAACAAAGGCATGATAATGAGTTACTTTTTATAATTATTGAGAGGTCTACATATGGAAGGAAGGAAGGAAGGAAGGAAGGAAGGAAGGGAGGGAGGGAGGGAGGGAGGGAGGGAGGGAAGGAAGATTGACAGGGAAAATGAATGGGAAAGGGAGAGGAGTGGAAGGGAAAGGGAGAGGAAAAAGAAAATGGAGAAGGAGTAGGGAAGGAAGGGAGGGAAAAAGGAGGAAAAAGGGAATGGGCAGAGGGGAGAGGAGAGACATAGGGAAGAAATAAAAGGTTAGAAAGAGGGAGGAGGAGGGGAAGGGAGAAGGGAAAAGACGGGATAGGAAGGGAAAATGGGAAGGAGAGCAGAGAAGAAGGCATAAAAAAGGGAAGAAAGTTTGTGAATGCAATATAGTTAATGAAATTTTAAATATGACAAAGCTGAACACAAGTGGCTCACACCTATAATCCTAATTACTGAAGAGGCTGCAATTTGGAGGATTGCAGAAGACAGAGACCTCATCTCTTAAATAATCAGGAAAAAGCTAGGGTAGAGGTATGGGTCAGGTGGTAAAGCACCTGCAGAGCAAGCAAGCCAAGTGCATAAGAGTCCCAAGTTCAAACTCCAGAGGTAAGACTTCAACAAAGACTTCAAAGGTGAAATAGCTGGCTATGTATATATCTCACAGAAAGTGCTAGCGTGCTAAGACAGGAATATGCATGATATATAAGAGTGACAGCATGAGGCCTCGCATGGGTGATTAGAGTGAACAAGAGAAAGACATGGAAGCACTTCCCTCTCCCTTTCTTACTTCATCCTAGCTTTCCCAGGTAAGCATTTGTTTTTTTTTTCTTTTTCTGAAAAAACTGAGATGAATCTAGAAACCTGAAACTAGACTTCTGAAGTCGGTAGAAGCACACAATTAAACAACAAAGGCAAAAACTTGCAGGCAGACTAAATTATAAATAATGTCCACCTTTTACTTGGCAACAGAACAGCATACATGCATCCTGTTGTCTCTACATTATTCAGACAGCCAGAACAAGCATGCATTAATGAAAAAGAAAGAGAAGGCGAAATCTTTGATCATCATTCCAAATTTCTAGGATAAGATATGTTAAAAGGTAGATGAAGAAAACTATGAAGCCCTTATATCTTTTTTTGTTGTTGTTCATTATGGGGCTTTAACTTGGGCCTAGGTACTATCCCTGAGATATTTTGCTCAAGCCTAGCACCCTACCACTTTGAGCCACAGTGCCACTTTCGGTTTTCTGGTGGTTAATTTTGGAGGTTAGAGTCATGGACTTTCCTGACTGGGGTTGGCTTTGAAACATGATGCTCAGATCTCTGCCTCCTGAGTAGTTAGGATTATAGCCATGAGCCACCAGCACCCTTATATCTTATTTCCATAGACTATTTTGTTTAGTTGGAATTTTTCCTAAAGAACTGGCAAAGTACTATAAAAGATAAAAAGATGGACTCACAGTGATAGACCATGATGAAATCTAAACTATGTAAAGGAGGAAAAGTAAATATATGGGCAGTTAAGGGAAGTGGGAGTGAAGTCCAGGTGAAAGTATTAGGTAGTGATAGCCAGGTGGAGTGAGTTAGAATGGGCAGCTAGTACATGGATGTCTGGGCTCACAATTTAAGAAATGATCAGATGTGGGTAACAAACAAGACCTGAAATAACACAAGCTGAGGTGGAGTAGAGGGGAGGCCAGTGGAAATGAGGAACCCAAAGAATAACTAGAAAGAGCGCCAGTCTCACCAAAACTGATATGTATTGACGCACAGTGAAGATGCATGCTCTTACGCACAGAGAACTACTTTTGATAACACATAATCAAATAACAAAGCCAATAATGTTAAAATGATCAGTGTCTTACTCTTTGAGATGTTTCTGCAGCGGCAGCTGCCATAGCAGCAGCCTTAGCCTTCTCAGCTTCATCATATGTAGGAAGAGAGGTAGCAACGCTGTAGGGAGGTGGCACAGGGTAAAACTCACTGTAAACTTCTGTATCTGAGCAAAAAGAATTTTTAAGGATAAATATTAAAAATAGTTGCATAGAATTTTATAGTCATGACCATATTCTTTTTCAATGGGACACTAAAGACTACTGTAGTCCTGTTTCTTAAGCTCTTTATATCACATAAAATACTATTACTACCAAATACTTTACCTTAATCATGTATTTATTATAAACAGAAAGGCTGATAAATACCATCTAAACACTAATACACTAAAAAAGGGTCTCAAGAAGATTTGGAAAAGGAGGTTAAAGAGGAGGAAAGTAAAAATCTCACAAAACATGAGCCCTATCTATAAACTTACTAGTATGCACAAAGAAATTAAATTTTCTGGGGCTAAGAAGTTGGCTCAGGGGTAGAGCACTCGTCTTGCATGCTTAAGTCCCTGGGTTTGATTCCTCAGCAGCACATAAGCAGAAAAAAAAAAAGCCGGAAGTGGCACTGTGGCTCAAGTGGTAGAGTGCTAGCCTTGAGCTGAAGAGCTGAGGGACAGCACCCAGGCCAAGAGTTCAGGCCCCACGACTGGAACCCCCCCCAAAAAAAAGAAATTAAATTTTCTTAATTTTTTTTTATTATTTCATAGTCACAAAAATTATATCAGGAAAATTAATATTTATATAATGCTAAACATTTAATATACCATTCTTCTATATATTAATTTGAGCAACCCTCCTGGTTCAGGAAAATTAAGTGACTTGCAAGGTACTGAACAACCGGTAAGTGGCACACTTTGCAAGAAGAGAAAGGGGGAGGGAAAGAAAGGAAAAAATCCAGACCAAGCTAGGGTAGCAAATTCATTATCCTTTCTTCCAGAAACTTGAAAATACTGATGGAAATTCAGAATAAAATTTAATAATCTTCAAAAAAGTTTAAATAAACAGAATTCATAGAAACCAACAAATAAACTGCTTGAGGAACTACAGGTAGTGGTAGAGTGCTTGCCAAGCATGCATGAAGCTCTGGGTACCATTCCCAGAACCATAAAACAAAAAAACCCAAAGCAACAATTGCATATAAAACTGTTATTAAACAAGCACACTGATCAAATAAACATTATATACAAATAAAACAAATATACATTTGTTAATGTTATTAGTAAAGACACTTTCATGGAGAACATGATTTTCAGCAACTGCATTAAAAAATGAATTTGATGAAGAAATACTGGATTTTTCCACACATTTAAAAATGGTAACCAAGCTGCGCACTGGTGGCTCATGCCTGTAATGCTAGCCAAGAATCACAGTTCAAAGCCAGCCCAGATAGGAAAGTCCATGAGATTCTTATCTCCAATTAACACCAGAAATCAGAAGTGACACTGTAGCTCAAAGTGACAGAACCCTAGCATTGAGCAAAAAGAGCTCAGGAACAATGCCCAGGATCTGACTTCAAGCCCCACGACCAAATAAATAAATAAATACCAGAGAAAGTTGGCATGAGTTGGAGATATAAATGGCATTAATTTTAGAATAAGAAACATGAAAGATGAAGTATTCTAGTGGAAATTTTATTTCAGCTAAAATGTTTTAATATCTGATTTTTAAATGATTCATAATACACATATATAAAATATTTAGAAATGTGATTTATACATTACTTGGAAATTATCAGACTTGGAAACATTGTAATAGTATTCAAAATGATACAAATCAAATAGTATATAAAAATTGTAATAGTATATACATCAACATATTAACTAAAATTGTTGAAAAAGGAACTGAAATTATCTCTCTAGAAAGGCCTGAAGAAAAAAGCAGCAGCAAGCAATAATCACTGCATTCAAGAATTATCACATGTATTTGAAAGCACACTTGCCCCTCCCGCCACACCGACCCACAATGTCCTACCACTTTCATCATTACTAATGTTATCTTCTATAGGCATGTATACATACACATGTGTATGTATCTGCATACTGTATGTACATGTGTATTGTGTGGATATATTTAAAAGCACATTAACAGACCTGATAATCACATAAAACCATAATGTCAACAAAATCAACTGGGAGCAAGCAGTTTCCCACCTGAAGTCGTTGGTACTTCCACGGTAATACTACTATATGGTGGAGGAGAGGAGTCTGTCTCAGGTGCCGGCACAGAAGGGGCAGTCAGCACAGCCTGTGGTATTGAGTTTGAAGTGGACGGCTGCTCTGAAGCAGATGATTCAGAATTATCCTCTTCATTGTAAAGCTAAGAAGACAAAGGAAGAAGAGTCAATGCAATGGTGCTCATTGTATTTTTATTTACAAATCTGTAAAGATTTTATAATTCAAAATAGATTCAAATTTGCATAAGCCTATATATAGTATTAAGTATGTATCATTGTGCATATACTACACTTGTACTGCAAAGAAAGGCAAACCTCCTGTGAACTCAAACACAATACCATCTTTATTACTTGAATCTATAAGTAGAAATATAATAATGTAGAAACCATCTAAAAATGTGCAATATTCTTAAGTTTTCCGAAGTATAGAAAAATGTAAAATGAGTCAATGTACATCCTAAAAATTTTTTCATCATAATTAATTTATCAATAGTTCAAGCAGTAGGAATAACATATTAAAATTTTAAACCATTTAACTTATTGAATCCTCACAATAAATCTATGAGATACTGTCTTTATCCCCAGTGACAAATCAGAGGTGGTGGTAGGGAATCATTAAAGTACAGAGACTTAATATAACTTCCCAAATATCACAACAGCTAAGAAAACTAAGCAGTGGGTTTATGCATTTATGATGACTTTGAAACAATCATTAATATGCAAGCAAACTACTATGAGGTAAAACAATGGCATAATACCATGAAGTGATGCATCAAGGAGAGACTATAATTTATCTCTAATGTATTGAGAAGAGTACTTATTAAAACATTTTAAGAACTTTTAAACTAGAATCTCAGTTTTGAAAAGAAACTATGGGTTTTCAGTGTTACTCTTCATTGATTCATTCCCTTAAGAAATACAATGTTGGGCTGGGAAGGTGGCTCAGTGGTAGAGCGCTTGCCTTGCATGCATGAGGCCCTGGGTTCGATTTCTCAGCAACACATAAGCAAAAAGAAAAAAGCTGGAAGTGGCGCTGTGGCTCAAGTGGTAGAGCGCTAGCCTTGAGCTGAAGAGCTGAGGGACAGCACCCAGGCCCAGAGTTCAGGCCCCACGACCAGACCCCCCCCAAAAAAGAAATACAATGTTAAAAAAACACTCCTCCAAAGAAATGTCATATTACTACTATAAATGCTATTTTGAATGTTGTAATGTAGCAAGACTACCATGGTTTCCTGATTTCAGAAAGAATAGCATCCCCATATACCCCTCAGGAGCTTTGCTAAAGTTGGCTTTCTGTGCCTCAGCATTCACCTATAGGTTCTGAATGCAGCCAGAATCTTCAGAGTTGTAAAATGGTTGTTGGACAACATGGGATAGCCACTAGCACGGAGAAGGCATTTAATAAATACATGTCTCCCAACTCCAATTCATGAAGTAGAAACAGAAATTATGAAGTAGTCTCTCTCAGTCCATTAAGTAGCTACTAATGTCTCTAAAATATAAAAATGACATAAACAAAATCAAGTGGGAGGTAATTTATTACAATGCTGATTTAATATACTTTAGCAAGTGATGCTATGAAAACATTTTATCAGTTAATAAATGTATACTTTTAAAAGAACTATCATAAATATAACAAATAATTTCTCACTTTTTTTTTAGTTTTTCCAAAAATTTATTAAAGCAGAAACAAGTTGGTCAGGTATTTGCTGGGAAAAAGAAAGCAATTTTAATGGTATTCAAAAATACTTTTAAAAAAGTATTGTAGCACAAGACTTCTTTGTAAACTAGATTATGTGTTGTAAATGGTTTTTCAATTTCTCACATTATTAAGGCAACTCTTTCTACTCACATCACAGCACAAGGGTTTGAATAATTAATCACTCTCTACACTCTTGGTTCAAGTAATGATAATGTGAATTTTGTATGTGCATTATAGTTACTTGTAGAACTTTTCCAAGCAGGCCCTAAATTACCACCTCTTAATTGGCAACATCTTGTAGCTGCAGCTCAGAGCCCTGCTTATGCTGTCCTATTACAGTCTATCCAAGGGAATCCTCTAAGACCAGTCATCTTTACTTACTGGACTTGTGGAACAAAAATGTTACATTGGCCACATAAGACAAATGTAAGTGAAATACAGACATTTACCTGGAAGTTTCAATTACACTAAGTAGTAGCAAAGTTATGAAAAAGGAAAAAAATCATTTTTCCATACCTGATATTAAAATCACAAATGTCAGATATAACTTTATACTAAGGAAAAGAACTTTATAACAAAATAGGTCTTTAATTCTACTCTTATATAAACACGTAATATTAAATATGGTATACAAATGCGCTCTCCACAATGACTATGCCATTTTTGAAACCTGTCAACTTTACTTAAATAATTACAATGAAAAGAATAGCTACAGGAACTTTCACATATGACTCAGAAATAAACATTGGAACATTATATAACATATCCTAGTTTATTTCGAGCAACTTACCTAACCCCTACTTTTTATTTTACAAGATTATGATGTACAGAAAAGATTTACTGTGCATCAACAGTAAAACCAAATAATTCAGTCAAGAAGCTCTACCCATGGTTGCATGTAACTTTCAATTTAAGTATAACACTGCAATTTTACATCTTTGCAGGCAATGAAATTGCTTCTATAAACCAATCTACTGTGACTGCCTTTTAAGTGAATCTACACAATGATTCAAATCAAAGTATATGTTCATCAAATTAGAAAATGCCATTCAGGAAAATCATTTCTTTCTAAAGATTTTTATTTTACATTCTTTAGCAATTACCTAAACAGCAAAATCAGAAACCAGGAGGGTACAGTGGGGGGCAACTTGTAAACAATGCTGATCCCAACTTCCTGTGCCTTATCCACACTCATGAGCCTCTAGAAAACATGTAGGTAATACAGTATGACACATGAGAGCTAACATTTCTCTTCAGTAAAGCAAGAGAGAGGGTGTGAAAAGCTACATACTGAATGAAACATGATTGTTTATTAAAAAAAAAAGATGAAGGCTGCATTAAAAGTAGCTACTCTCTAAAAATGTATATTGAATATACTCTCTATAAATGTATAATAAATGTGTATTTAATGACTAGGAAACTATAAGCACTAAAATAAACTAACTGGAAGTCCAGCCTTATAGTAAACAAAGTACTGCTATACAAAGTAAACAAAGTACTATTTCTTCAAACTGGCTTGTCTCCTACAGTACAACTCTTAAACTAAGAGTGACGAAATATGAAGGCAGATTCAGATGTGTTGCTTTAGTGAAGGCAGGAGGTTTCCTAGTACACAGCACCATGAAGAGAAGCAGAGATGTGCTATGAAGTGATGTGGATGCATCACAGTGCCCTGCCTAGGCCAGCAGCAATATAGTCTCACTCCCTGACCTCTAATTGTCTTAATTCATTTCTTTACTTTTTTGTTTGGACATGTTTTATTACTATAAAAGAAAATTTATGACCTTGCTAAAGGAAAAACGTAATTCACTTTTTAAAGTTTTCAGATGAAGCAATACCCAAAGACATGATGTATTTTGTATACTGCCAAATTATGTTATATTTAGTATGAGAGGGAAGAAGAGTAAATCTTTGGTAAATCTTTTTCTCCTTCCTTTGTTTTTTTCCCCAATCAATAATGGATATTTAATTTGGTGGATTGTATTTTTTTTCTTTTCTTTTTTTCCCATTTTTTTAATACTGTGAAAAGGTGCTGGTGGCACTCAGGAGGCTCAGAGAAGAGGATCAAGGATCAGGAACAGTGAGTGCCCAGACCCTGAGTCCAAGCCCAAGGACCAGCACCCAAAAACGAAAAAACGTGGTCAAGTTTGATAATTAAGTGATCCAACTACATATTATGGAATTCTGGTCTCCTCCAGAAGGCTATGAGGGAAAAGGTAATCAAGTCTTCTAATTTTTAAGATCCTGATAATAAAAACCTGTTATCCGATCTTGCTCTATTTAATACCTAATTTAGGGAAGAAAACAGATTGCAGTTGCAATAAAATCAAAGAGCTGAGTCAAGCTGTACATCAGCTGCACAAGACAGTGAGCTCACCTCATCTGTACAAGGTGGTTAGGTAACACAGGTCTTAAACTCTGACAGATCAATACTGTTCTGAACCAGTAGTTCAGAAGGTTCTCACTGAACCATGCTGCTTAGCCACAGACCTAGACTTTCCATAAAAAAAAAACTAAATTTCAAGTTCTCTCATATGTAACTCATTAAGCAAATAAATAACTTCCCCCCCCAAATTCAGGTTTCTTTTCCAAATACTTTCCCCACTAAGCCCAAATTTTTAATAAATAAAATCAAAATGTAATATGAAACCTCTAATTTCTGGTTTTCCATGTCTCAGAAGCCAAAATATTAAGGAATACACTATGTCCTTTGATAAAAGGCTTTCTCATAAAAAGGAAAAGAATTATTGAGGCAGGTTAGCTCTAGGGAAAGAATACTGAAATCAACCCCCTCTCCTAGCTGCATCCTACAAAATCCTCGGAAGTCCAATCTCCTTAAAGCACCACTCATGGCCATTCCTCAGTGGTGATTTGTGGTCAGTTTACAGTGAGCACTTCTTCCTAGAGGTGGAAAAGCATTGGCCAGTTCTAACCCAACTGAGGCACCTCCGTGGCAGAAGGTATGCACCCTTAGCCTGACCTTTCTGTCTTTAGTTTGACTTTTGTGCAATAAACTCCTACTCAGGGCTCCATACATATAGTTGCATTTCATACATATACTTGAAAATATAAGGATGGAAGCCTTATAATATGTTTAGATCCCTTCCAAAAATCTGCTAAATCCGGATCCCTCATTTCCCTAAGATCAGGCCAGTATCATTACTATTAATTTCTCTATACTCCACAAATGTTAGTAAGCAGAAATATTCTTAACCATGTATTTGCTCTTGGGCCTCCTAGCATGGACCTGCCATTTCTTTTAATGGTATACTTTCTCTCTATTAAGCTCCTCACTTTACCACTTTGGAAACAGTAAGAATCTAGGATCTTCACCTCTACCACCACTAACTATAACATTTATTAAAACAGCTCTCTTAGCTTTATCACATGCAATTTTTGTTGAAAACAGTACAATCTACAACTGTACCTAAACAAAAATGT